AGGGCCTGGGGATTTATTTTGTTTCAGTCGGTCTACTTGTTTCATAACCATTTCGCTAGTGACTGTTATATTACTTAATTTATTCTTCTTAGGCCCACTATAAAACCTAATTGTAGGGATATTACTAGTGTCTTCTGAGTGAAAACCGAGAGAAATAATTATTAAAAATAGAGTACATTTCATTCTCCTTGTCAATAAGATGCCCAGAGTTATTTTTAAGCTGACCTATGGTTTCTCTAACTTTTGTTCTATACACCTGGAAAAAAACTTTTGGTTAGTTTTCGAATCCCTAGCAACTTAATTTCGTAGTCCCGTTCAGCTTTTCTTCTTATCCACCTTTTTAACGTCCCTCTTAATGTCAATATACTGATTCATAATATGAACCTCACCTCTTTTGATGTGCATATAAATTCCTTTCTTCTGTTCTAAAAGAATTTGAGCCTATTATTCATCCATTTTGGATGTTCTCTGCAAAGCTGACTATGAACTTCGTTTTAAAGTCTATCGAAAGCCTACCTACCAACGCGATCTTCTCCACTACTACTCTCACCACGACACTATAAGTAAATGTGGTGTAATTATAGGCTTTTTCCTGCACGTCTTAAATCGTCTTCTTTCACTAGTTTGGCCTCACTGAATTTCATGAGGTGTCCATCGTTGTCCTTATGTTGAACACACGCGTTTTTACTGTTATCATTTCTGCAAACATTTTTGTGTTCGGTGATCCTAATGTCCAGAAATCTGGCTGCTTCCCCCACATATAGGACATTGGGATCACCGAACACAAAAATGCTTGGATTATTATTATTATTATAATCAAAGGGGAAGCGCTAAACCCGGAGGATTATACAGCGCCTGGGGGTGGGATGTGGAAGGCATTCAGGCTTAATTTGGGGAACTGGAGCACAGATCCAATTCCCTAAATCATGAGCCCCTCACCAACAATCAAGGAACCTTCCTTGAGGGGAAAAATGCTGGGAGAAATGATGACCACAAAACCCGTGTGTTCAACATAGGGACGATGTTGGACAAGTCATGAAATTCACTGAGGCTAAACCAGTGGTAATACCTTCATCTCATCTGACTCCGGTATATAAGCCCACGTCTTGCTGTTTGTGCTTCAGTTTCATCAAGACGGTACTGAGTACCAGCTATTATGCAGAGGGACTGAGTACCTCATCTTTTACCTCTTCATTCTGTTGTGTTGTATTGATAATCACTTGTTTGCGAAACGTCTATATTATAAAGAAACCCAGATGTTGCCTATTTTTTCTAATTCTTCTGACTAAGGACACGAAATTTGCTCTCTGTAGGCACAAAATTAATGAGAGTATGATTAAAGAACTCAAATGGAAGATAGAAATGAACTATTGGAAATGAAGAGCAACATTAGTGTCTAACGAAGACAGGACAAACGCAGTGGGTTCATGTTTGTAAACATTATACATTTAGAAAGGATGTAGAAAAGCACTGGTTTCACATTAGAGCTCTGAATGAGTGGAACACACTCTAGTATAAAATTAGACATTTGTGCAACATCTGAGTATCTTCATTGTAGACGTTTCGCCATCCAGTGGTTTATCAATAACATAATCAAGGACATAACTGAAAGACTAGAACTATATAAAAAAGATGAGGTAATCAGTCCCTCAGCCTTGGAATTGGTGCGAAGAGCATCGTTGTCGTGGAGAAACTGGATCGCAGGCAAGAAGACTGGCGCTTATACTGGCGGTTGTCCTCAGTGGAAGTTAGTCATACCAGAGGGACGGGTTAGTGGTAATAGTCTTCGAGTCTTCGAGAAGAAGGTTGTGAAGATGTCCTCTGAATCAAGATTCCATGATGTTGCAGTGCCTGACAGTTGTACATGATTAGTATACAATACCAACAAGATGAAATTTTTTATCTTGTTGGTATTGTATACCATTCATGTACAAATTCTAGTAAGATTCACGGAATCGGGAACCTATGGTACCTTTAAGTATTGGTTGGACCAATAAATGAGTGGTTGGGTGAAAGCATGCACCTGCCTACATGGGTCTGTAGCCTGCTGCAGTGCTCCTCCTTTCTTGCATTCTTATCTCTAGATGTTTCCTCAGGTTATATTCGGGCCAATGCTTGGTCTCATTGCCATGTGTTTCGTCAACTGCGACGAGAAGCTGGCTATGGGAGTATTGTGTGTGGCAGTCGGGCTCAACGGGGCCGTCTACAGTGGCTATATGTCCTCCCATCAGGACCTCTCCCCTAACTTAGCAGGTTCCCTCTTAGGCCTCACCAACACAGTGGCAACTATACCTGGATTCGTCTCACCAGTGGTCACCGCAGCATTACTGAGGCAACGTGAGTCGTGTGTATGTGTGATTTTACATATTTATCGTTATAGAAGCAAGTGGTATAATCTCGTATTCAAATTTTAATTTGTTTTATGGATGTTTTAATGAATAATGGTTTAGGATTTTTTTCAGTTCATTCGTTTTTTTCCAACCTTATGCTGTTGTATAGGCTTGTTGTCCATGCCAGTAACGAAAAGAAATATTTCTAGTAATCAAATTTCTAGTCAAGACTTTGCACACAACTCTCTGGCTGACGAGTCCACTCCCCAATTTCTGCTCACATTTACTACATCCATTCTGATTTCTAGTCTTTCATCCAGTCTAGAGAGTTCGTCATTCACCTCACTTTGTTCTTTCTTGTGTATTCATGCAATTTCCTTCTTTTATAAACCCTTTCAAATTCCTCCACCAACATTAGAAACTTCTCTTAAGATTCTCCCATAAGAACAGTGTCATCAGGAAAAAGCAACTGCGACAACTTCTACTTTGTATTAAATCCGTTATCTTTTCATCCACATCTCTCCCCAGCATCACAGTGTTCATTTCATTTACAGTCCTATCAATAAATATGTAAGAAAAACATTGGAAACATCGAATATCATGTAAGACCCTCTTTCACAGGAAAATAATCATCTCGCCCGTACATACCCTAACCTAAGCCTCACCATCCACACAAAAACCTGTTACTTCTTTTAGCAACCTACAACCTTTTCCTGTCTTTGTCCTCTCTATATTCTCGATTAAAACATATATTCTCTTTGCATTTCCTGCAACTTTACTTCGGTATCTACAGCTCTGTCATACAGTTCCAATCCTCATTCCACTTCACACAGAAAATTTCTTTGGCTATCAAGTCCACTTTTATATATCATCCTCATCTTTTTCTCATTGCCCCTTTATAGCAGGTACGTAAAACAATTATGTACAGTTCAGGTCATTTATTTGAGGAAACGTTTTGCCACAAGTGACTTCTACAATATTAATGCTTATCCACTTGTCGGTATTTTATATACCACTATCATATTCTCAGTGTCAGACAATACAACCTAACGGTATCTTGGTACAGAGGACATTTTTTATATTTCTTTTCCTAACCACTAATTACGAGTGAGAAGGGTTGAATTTAACAAGGACCTACCCAGCCACTCTACTGTCCTGCCGTCAAACATATGCGCCGCACCTTTGACAATATATTAGTCTATTCTGTTACTTCAGTATCACATTGTTCCACACTATGATGGAGAACGCTTCTCCAGGCTGAGGGACTGACCACCTCATAACTACGTCATGAAAGGTGGTGGACTGATTACATCGTCTTTACATATATTCTGCTTCTGCTGCCACCTCTATATTCTACTGAAGAAGCATAATGTGTAGGCGAAACGTTTCGGAATAGTTACCTAACAATAGAGATAACTAAGAATGAGTATATATAGTGATTAAATCACCTCTTCTCTGTGAATGTCCTGCACTTTTACCAAGATTAATGGACTCAACATGTCGGCTAGAGGCTGAGGGACTGATTACTTCAAATTCCTTATCTTACACCGTTTCTCTGCATTGGACTGAAGAAGCCACTGGCTGGCGAAACGTTACTAAGATGAAGATTCCCAAGCGTTGCATAAGTGTTATATCCACCATCTTGTAAGTTTTCTAAAACATTTACTCAAAGAAGCATCAAACCTGGAACCTGCACTACCCAGGAAGCTCCGCTAAGTCATGGCAGCATGGGAAACCCCAGTTGTCCAGCCTCCAGCATCAGGTACAGCACCGACCACTGAGCAGCAGCCTCGTCCAGAAGAGGCTGCTGCTCAGTGGTGGGTGCCCCCTGAGCAATCAAATGAAGTTGACAATCACTTGCTTCACCGAGGTCATATGTGACCTAATAGACTCAGCAGAAAACAAAGAGACATTCAGAACTATTGTGAAGATCATTATATTCGTTTTGGACAATGTAGACTACATCCATTATATTTGCAAATGTACCCGACCACCCAAACCAAAACAAGGGGGGTTGCCTGATGGCCTCAGTTCACTCTACTACCTTAAATGCTTTACAGTAGAACGCACAGGGACTACAGCAAGACACTCCACACAGAATAATTGAATTAGATCGACATCTCAACAGGTAAAGACGTCATAGCTATCAACTTCAGATTCTCAGAGACATCTCTTTCCAGATCTCACACTATTAGACTAAAACCCGTGTCGGGATGCAGTTTATGACGAACCAGTCAATTAAACTAAAGTTCATCATTTTTCAAGTATTCCTTAAAGCCTCGTATATAACATCAGCATTGCCATCATACAATTCAGTTAAGTTTAAATAAGTAACCTCAGTTTGTCTCAGAATAATACCTAATGTTTTAGTTACAGAAATATCATTCTTTTCATCTATTAATAAGCTGAATTTACTATTTCCAGTAACAGCTTTCAAGTCATCACTTAAATATGATGTCAGTACATCGTACACAACTATACTACATTTTGTCCTCCTGAGCTTAAGGCTCTTACATCAAGAACTGTCTGCAAAATATTCTTTGCAGAGTTCACTTACGTGATCATTTACTCATAATGAACAATGTTCAGCAATGAACAAAAATATATTTCCCTCTGTACTTGTTACATAATCGCTAAGTCCTTCAAACTGAAGCATTGTTTTTCTTTTTTTTACTTAATTAATGGTTCTTCAGTTTTCTTGAGCTTGGCAGTAATTTTGTGTCTTACATTGTCACTTAATTTAGCTGCAGTTGACCAATTGCAATACTTACGAAAATGTTTTATATCATCGTCCTCTATTTTCCTTAATCATTTTTTGGTATTTCGAGTCTCTGAGTCACTGGACACTAAATGCTGAATATATTTTTTGCTCATAATAAATACTCAGAGCAAATAAAGCGACAATAATAGTAATGTTAACAGATAACATAAGGGAGGGTCTAAACAAAAGCCAACCGGGTGTGATGGATGTGTCAGAGAGTCTGTCAGATTGTCAGAAAGTCTATCAGTCAGTCATAGGTTCGCAGCCCAGGACATTATCACTCCCGTCAGGTGATCACGACAAAACGTGATCTGGACCTGTCAAAACCTGAGCTTCTCA